ATCGACCAATAAATGGTTTGAGTACCTGATTCATCAACCGCATGAAAGTACTTGGCGCGTTGGATAATCCAAATGGCATGACTAACCACTCATACAGCCCTTTTTTTTTTTTTTTTTTTGTCTTGAATGCCTTTTTCCACTCATCCCTAAGGTGGATTTTGATATGATGGTATCCATTCTTGAGGTACACTTTGGTGAAGACTTTCGATCCTACCAACATATCCAGCAAATCATCTTACCGTGGAGTGGGAAATCTGTACTTGACAGTGATTATGTTAATTGCGCGATTATCAACGCACATTCTCCAACTGCCATCTTTCTTCAGTACTAGCAAGGCCGGAATAACCCATGGGCTCATGCTCTCCTGAATCAACCCTTTCTATAGTAATTCTTCCACTTGCTCTTATAAGATCTGACTCTCGTTTGGACTCATTTGGTAATGTGGTAGATTTGACAAGCTCGCCTCGGGCACTATGTCAATGTGGTGCAAAATGTCCCTCATCATGGGAGGGAGACTATCAGGCAAGTCTTTTGGCACCAACTCGCAAATCTCCCGCAGTAATGGCTGCACTATTGTTGGTACTGTAAAAGGAGGTTGTTCAACTACTTCACCCTTACACATAACAACAAAGATTTCAGGGGAAGTTGTTACTTCGCCCATAAATTCCTCATTGTTGATCAACATAACTAAATTTCCTTTGGGAAATTCGGCCTCTTTCAGCGGACCCAAAACAATCTTCTGACCATTCTTGTATAGAATATACACATTGTCTCTACCAAGTGAGTGGCATCGACATCAAATTGCCATGGTTTGCCTAATATCATATGGCATGCATCCATGTTGACTACATCACAATGCACCTCCTCTGCATACGTTTTCCCAATTGAGAATGGAATGGTGCAGGTTTCAGTTACTCGCGTTTCTAAGCCTTTCTTGATCCATCCAATTTTGTATGGACGGAGATCTTTCTCTATTTTAAGCCCCAATTTTCGAACCATTGTTAAGGAAACAATGTTCTCATTACTGCGGCTATCAATAATAACGTCATATACCTTATGGTTTACAGTGCAACGTGTACGGAACACATTATGACGCTACGGGTGCTCCTCTTTCTTTGGCGTGAACATCAACCTCCTTACGACTAAAGAGTTGGACAATAACTCGCCATTGTCTCCTTCAGTCACCTCTTCTTCTTCAAAGGTAAGGAACTCACCTTCCTCACCCTTGCCTTCCTCATGCTCGACCAGATTTATTGTCAGTCGCTTGGGGCAATTGTTAGATTTATGGCTAGGTTCTCCATATCAAAAAAACTTGCCCATACTTGGGTGTGCATAGGGATTTTGTCTCACAGTTGGGGCTCCCCTTCCAGCAGAGCCTAGTGGTGTTATGGGTTTAGCCTTTGTTGGACCATTTCCAATGCCTCGCCATGTCATTGGAATATTAGCCACCGCGGTCTGTTTACCCATGTCATGTGTAGGATGTGGGGTACTATATGAACTACGAGACCGATTCTTCGACTTCTCCAGTAACGATTCTGCTCTCTCTGTCGCTATGACAATTTGAGACAGTTTGAATAACGGTTGCAACGCCACTTTCTCTTCAATATCCCATCGTAATCCTCCTTTGAAACGGGCCACCATGCTAATTTCACTAGGTTATTATGGGATAATAACTAATAAAATTCTTCAACATATTCAACAATTGTTTTACTTCCCTACGTGCAGGACTTATATTTCTGATAAAGAACCTGTTCATAATCGGGGGGTAAAAATTGAGCTTTCATCAACTTCTTCATCTTAACCCATGTACGTAACGGATCCTTACCCTCACATGCGCTAGTAGTTTGCACTTGATCCCACCATGCTGATGCGCTGCCTTTTAACTTATAGACCACGAGTTTGACTTGCTTCTCCTCCTAGATTTTCATATAGTGAAAGAAACGTTCAACTTCACTAATCCAGTCCAAGAATTCTTTAATACGAAGATGACATTAAAAGATGGGTAAGTCAATCTTTATACGAAAATCCCTGGAATCATCAATTTCCCATCGACCTTGATTATCTCCGAACACCTGTATGGCTCGGTTGTTACCAAAACCGCATTTTCCTTATAGGTTGGTTGCCTATTTTGTGGGTTTGGGTTGCGATTACTAGCAGGACGTCCATGATCACCGTAGTTGGGCAGCCTGTTGTTCTCGCGGTTAAGCTCTATCGTTGTAAATCTCGCCAATACTTAACACATAGTTTCATGCATATCAAGCAAGGTTCGATTAACAGTAAACTCAGCCCCAAAAGAGCTACTAGTTCTACATGGTATGGTATTACTCTAGAATTGAAGCTAATAGAAAATGATGGGAGGGGTGGGTAGTTTTATCGTTTATGCATTTATGAAATCTGTTAACACGTCCATATGGAAGGGTAATATCACTGGAGGGGGGAAAAATGAAGCTTGGATTAGTTGATTATAGTTCTGACTCAAAAATTCTCAGTTTTCGCATCCTTGTCTCTACATAGCTCTATTGGTTAGGTATCTTCATTCTCCCCAAAGCAGTTATCAACCAGCTCAATAGTATCTTTAGTGCTTTCCTTTGGTCTGGACCTAAATTGAAGTCCTCTTGTGCCAAAGTTGCCTGGGGTAAACTTTGCAAACCAAAGAATGCAAGGGGGTTTTTTGCTCATTGAGGTATGTTCAAAGGGGTTTGTTGCACTTTACCCTACTATCAAAATATACATATTATATTTATTAAAATATATTTGAAAGTTTAAATTGAGTTCTGAAAAGACAAATTGGCTTAATTGAAAATATGTGCAATTTCTTGGTGGATTTGCAAGATTTTTACCAGGGCTGCTCAAGATAATGGCAAGGTAGGACCCCTTAGGGCCTGTTTCCAAAAAAAAAAAAAAAAAAATGTTATTTACGTTAAATTGACTTTATAGTTGTTTAGCTACAGTAGCAAATAGGCCCTAATACCTCATAAAATATTGGGTTTATATTTAAATTTTTAGATAAATAATTTTTTTTAAGAGTATTCACATAAATTATGGTTAATTATAGTTACACTCCTTGAGATTTGTCCTATTGACAATCAAATAAAAGTTGAATTATTTTTTAACAATGACCACCTCCTCAAGTTTCATAAAGTTAACAAAGACATCCTCTAGTCATCTGCATATGATGAATTGACATTATTATCCCCTATTTGGACCGTGAAATTACATTCTTAACCTAAAGCAAGCTCTGGGGGGTTGTTATAGATGTGGTAAAGGCCTAAAAAGTTTCATGAACTTGCATAAAGATGTTTATCTTCTTAAAAGATCTGGATCGTGGAAAATAAATTTAAAACCTATATATTTTTATGTTGCAAGAAAATGTGCAGTGCCTTGGATGTGTTAAGGCCAAAATTCCTGTTGCTAAAAGTTACCATTGCTCTCCTAAATGTTTTTCAGATGCATGGCAGCATCATCGTGTTGTCGTTGGAGGGGTTGCTTCCATCTCGTGAACCAGCCATCGAAAACAAAGACGAATCTTGGATTCAAAACCTTACTCTGATACCAACTAACGTAGCGAAAATGATAAAAAAACAGGATTAAACTCTTGAATTCACAAAGAACACACTCACAAGAGAGAAACTGCAATTACATTGATAATGATAATGCCTGTAGACTTACATCTCTTGCCTTTATATAGGCAAGACAAAAGAAGAAGAAGAAGGAAGGATGAGTGAAATAATATTAAAAGGGAAATATGAGATTTGATGGAGTTAAATCCTCCTTAAATCATCTTGCAATGGAGAATAATATCTTCTACTATTGGCAACTACACTAAATCTTCTTATTTATTTTTTGAATCCTCCTTAACTCTTGCAATAGAGAATAATATCTTCAATTGTTGGCAACTACATCAAATCTCCTTTTGACTTTTATTTATTTATTTTCTTCTATTCTTCTCACCTTTTCAGCCTTCCTGATTTGCAATGATCCTGTATGATCAGATAATCGTGAGCGAGTTGTTCTACATCACCAACAAACTACAAAATCAATTTTCGCTGGTGCAAAAAATATTGTAGCGAGAGAGGGTCACTGGAGAAGATGGGTCCCCGGAAAAGATGGGATCGCCGGATACAAAATTCTACTATCAATGTATGAAAGAAGAAAAAATATATATGTACAACTTTTAATGTACTGTTTTCAGCATTTATTTCCAAATTTTGTACTATTATTTAAGTGTGGACAAACTCATCTTCTCCGGCGAACCACAAAATAAAGTTGCATTGGACTATTTCTGCTGTCAAATAATTCTGAATCACGATGATTAGAAGAGAGCAAAGAATTAGAAGACGCAATGAAACAAGGTCTTGATGCGGTGGCGTATTGGCAACAGAGGCGGTGGCGTATGGCGGCATGGTTGGCAAAGGCGTCTGGCCGAAGAAGGCAGCCCTCGTTTGGCGTCGGTTGAAGATGATGACAAGTTTCGGCAAAAAATTGCGGGCAACCCTGGTTGATGAAGGATGAGGGTTTTAGGTACTAGGACCAATTGGTGGTAGGGTTTGCAATGGGGCTTCTGGTTGATTCATGATTTGTTTAGGTTTAAACGGGTGAACGAGATTTACAGTTGACAATGAGCGGTTGGATTTGGTGTGTTGATGGTGTGGTTTGGGTGAAAAGCTTTGGATGTGTTACCAGTAAGGTGGTTCGCGGCGGAAGATGAGGGCGCCGCCGCCGTGAAGATGGAAGCGGGTGGTGGCGATGGTGCTGGAGAAAATGAGTTGCAACAAATATAGAGAGAAAAAGTGAGCGGACAGAGAGGGCTGAAGTGGATAGAGAGAGGATGAGATTGAAGGGCATATGGGTAAAACAAAAAAAAGTTAAAAAGTGTTGCTTTTCATCCATTTGATAAAAGAAAATTGTTCAGCAGCATCATTCCTGATTGGCAAGAGTTCAAAATATTTATCTAAGAGCTTTGCCATTTGATTTTTGGCTAGGTATTCAATCTTTCCAGATATACAATAAATAAATATATAAATGCATCAATACTACTAGCTCGTCCAAACAGCTCTTCAGTTAACCGCCCAAAAATTTCAGAAAGAGATGATTTACAATTTACTGGAGAATACCAAAGTGCTGTGAGTACTGTGCTTCCTCAAAAAGTTAGTTTCGCGATATTAACACTACACAAAAATTGAGCACTGAAAATCAAAGAACACATTTGGCTAAAACGCTGAAAAGTATTTAACAACTGAACTATGTATCTCCAACAAAAGCAATTGGTGACTGATTTCGAGTGCCATAGGTGAAGCAACAACCTGAAATAAATAAGAGAATTAGAAATGCCAATACAATACTGAGAAAATTAACAAATAATCAGTTGTTTGCAGCATCAAAAACAGACGAGGAGTTTCAGCTTAAGAACCCATATTATTTTAATATTTCTGGCAACATTTCCATTCAGACCGAGTCATACATTGAAGCAAGGGTGTGGCAATTCGAGCTCGGTTCTTGTCCCGCTATATCCCTAATAGAAATGGTACTTAAGACAATTTAAATGGATATTGAAAAATAGTTTGAGCCCAACATAGGTTCGGGGCAGGATCGTGTACGTGAGTATTCTGCCCCTCCCGATTATGCAGTTTAATAACCTCTACACTGTTTACATTTAAAAATTGGATAAATAACAAGAAACCTCAAACTTTTATGTTATCACAAATTACTTCCCTTGAGCTACTTTTCCAGCAAACAAACCCCTCCGCATTTTAAAATAATGCGAGTTTGGCCTAACTCAAAACGGCTGTTGAGCTGTAACCATTAAAATGGTGACATGCATTGCACGTGACACATGATTTGAGTTTAATAACCTTTTCCCCCCTTTATATGATCATTTTATCCTTAAGTTTTCCATTTGATCTATCCAAAGTCCATTAGGCCTGCACAGCTAGAACAGCTTTTATACAAATATGCAACATAATGTTAACAATCAAAAATCAAATTAAAGATTGTGTGAACACTTCAAAGTTTTCTGAAGCATTCCATATAAAAGACCCAGTATAAGGGGACAACCAAACATATATGTATAAATGTGTCTGTATATATGTATATGCGTGTGTGTGTATATATATACACAAATATATGGTGACAATCCAATCATGTAGTAAAGTAGAAGAAACATAATATGGGGCCATATCGGTATTTCACATTTTCAATTTATTTTAGTCTTTTGAACATTAATAACAAAAGGCCCTTTAGTAATTACACTTTGTAAATTAAAGAAACTAGAAGGCTGTTTAAGTGAGGGGGCCAACTTGGAAGATCTGAAAACATGGAGAAGTTTGTTGGCTGGAAAAATAGTTCGGAGTGTAATTAGCACAACGTGAAAGTTTACAGGGTTTATTGCAATTTAGCCTCAATATTTCCTAAAAACCCTAATACAGTAAAACCTCTATAGATCAAGCACCACCAAACACACAAGGACACCACTTTCCAAAATAATTTGTATGTTTACATATGTCTTAAAAAAGAATCCCATATCCATGTTATAACTTGCATAGATCTAGATATCATATACCTATTTTCACCCTTCAATTTGTTCATAAACATTTTTTTATTTTTATTTTTCATAAGTAAAGATGTATTAGAAAGCGTTCAAAGGAGGAACACATCCCAAGAAAACGCATAGGAATTTGTTCATAAACTTTCTTCAAATAATTCTTTATATATGCTTTACTAGTACCCAAAAATTTCCCTATGTTGGATTGCAAAGTGGCTCTATATAAAGGAGCCAACTGGGCTTATGATTAAGAGCGTAAATTAAATAACTCTCCATTTAAAAAGGTTGTCTTCATCAGAGAAAACCTCATTTCCTCTTTGATCTTGTGGATGGGAATCATCAAGATGATCTTCCTGCAGTGACCCTCTGCTTCTTTGGTGAACTTCTGTTGAACTCCCAATTAACTGCCAGTGCCAATTAACCGAGATAAAGGAACAACATTAAAACCTCATTCTTGTCTTCATCTTGAGATCTAAGAAGTAAGAACCCTAATCCATTTAGAAGTGACCATTTAGGACCCCCAACTTCATTTAGGCCTCACTGAGTAATAATTTCTAGAGTGTAAAAAGTTCATAACTTAATCAGCTGGGTCTTGTAGTTTCAATTGGACAGTCGTGCACACAAAAATTGAATGCCATTTAAATTAAGTTACACTTAATTTTTAACCCTGAACATTTTAAATAGTTTAGAGTGTCAGCTGTAAAAAAGTCAATTTCTTCTAATATTCACGGATTTCTCTATATCAACATATCATCTAATCTAATATTCACAACATACACACCAACCTCACTCTCTTTCTTATTGAAAAGTCAGATGCTAATGGCAGTAGCTCCTACATGATACATCCATTGACTTGGACAACCACAACTATATAAGATGACTCATTCAATTAGCATATTGATGTTTGTGTTGGTATTATATTGTAATTTGGAACCTTGAAACCATCCATTGCAAGGAATCCTTTTAAATACCAGTTATAGACTAAAGACGCAATTCAGTTACTTCCACCACTACCAAGCATAGTTCAAAATATCAGTATAAATTTTCCTATTGGTGGTTGCAACACGACTTGATATTCAAGAAAACCCAGAGGAACCAAAAAATAAAAAAAATAAATAAAAAGAAAAAGAAAAGTCAGGACTAATTGAATGGAACAAGAGTAAACTAGAGGAACGACATCAACTAAAGATACTCTTACCTAGATCAGCTTGACTTAACATGCACTTCAATAATGTCATCGTCCTCCATCCCAAGGCCACTAGGGGTTGCTGTTGGATTAATTTTCTCTCCATCGAAACAAAAAACCAACCTTTGTACATCAAGCTTAGCTTTATCCGCATACGATTTAAAGAGCCGCTCAAACTTATCATCCTACAAAAGAAAAAAGAAAGATAAAAAAAAAACCAACTCTCGATAACAAAGCTACAAGTTTTTAAACAGTAGAGTAAAAGGAATTAAATTTTTAGAAAGATAACAAGAAGAGAACTTTAAGTGCAGTAACCAAACCAATAGGGCACATAACCCGATGGAAAACAAAAGAATGAGGAGCATTTAGTTTCCATTATTAGTGGCAAGAAAAAATTAAATTTTAAACTGTCAAGTCTCCAACAGCAAACATGTCGAGTCCTATGAAGCATGGACATTGATGTAGGATACAGACACAATACGGATACAGCAATTTGTCAATTTCTTAAAAAATAGGAGACATGTCAATATATATATATATATATATATATATATATATATATGTATGTATGTATGTATATTGTATTAAAATTAATATGTACATATATGTAAATCTATGTACACATTTAAAATAATAATTGTTTGTCATGTTATAATATAGTGTAACTAACATCTCCTTTTAAAAAACTTATGACAAACAAGCTGAAAGCCATATAACATGGTTAAATTTTAGACTAAATTAGTTATGATATTACATGGTTAAATTTTAGACTAAATTAGTTATAATATATATCTCAATATTTTTAAAAGATAATATAAGCTTTTCTTTACAAGTATACTATGATATTATACTGGGAAAGTTATTTGGCAATGTTCAAGACTCATTAGATATGCAACTCAGTGTATCTGATGAGTATGGAATATGTGGTCGAAGTCCTCTTAAACTTGTTAAAAAATTATTTTCAAATTATGGTTTATTTAGGAAGTATCGGATGAGTATCCGAGGAGTGTCAGTATCTGACATGAACACAATACTGCTGCACTTCCCTCATAGAAGTATCCATGCTTCATAAGGAGTCTGAAAATAAAAACATAAGCTTTACCTTAATTGAAGGGCTACGACTGAGAAATTCATGAAGTATGACCCCATTTAAAGAAGAAGAAGAAGAAGAAGAAGAAGAAAAGATATCTAATCTTTTCTTGATTACGATTAATCAAAGCTGAGAATAGCATAAGGCAGTAAGGCACAAAAATCAGAGGTATTAATAATGCAAATTTTCCTACTTATCACAATATACACATATTAGGGAATTCATAACCCTCATTTCCATATATCTCAATAATTCTGATAATATATCTACATAAAAAGAAATTCACGAAACAATAAAATCATTGAAATACTCCCTTAATGAAGCGGTTGAAACAAATTAATTCATAAACTGTCACCCTATATAATTTTGTTCAAAATGGCTAAAAGAAAGGAAAGCACACTTCTTCTAACATCTGCTAATCCATGACATAATCTATAACACATTATAATGCCAAAAAAGATAATAATAATAGAACTGAATTTATGCACGAAAATATATACCATGTACACACGAAATTGCTTAAGCTCTTCCTTGTCCTGGATGGAAATAATTATTTTAGCTCTTTCACAAGAAGATTTTGATGGATGATCTGCGACATTTTCCATGGAAGACTGCACTGAAGTACTAAACTCTTTTTTTACGGACTCTTCAACAGCTCGAAATACATCTGCAGCAGATTGGGCAAATGACACCAGCTCCTGCTTCTTTAACCTATAGATAAGAAACACATTTACATGAAAAATTAGGAGAAAAACAAAGATATTTGCAACATATACTAAACTAAAATACTTTGAAACCCATAAAGATTAATAACACATTGCATGACTAATAGTTACAACTCATAACCAACAGCTCAAACACAATCCTCACTGGAAGTTGAGTTGTAAGTGGTAATCACTTTGCATGACTAATAGTTACAACTCATAACCAACAGCTCAAACACAATCCTCACCGGAAGTTGAGTTGTAAGTGGTAATCTCTAAGGAACCAGAGGTCTCAAATTTGGGAATGTCAACTAATATCTTCTCGGAAAGCTGACGAAATTAGAGAAGGTCTTACTAATCAAAAAAAAAATTAGAGAAGGGTCTTAACAATGCATATCAAGCACCAACACTCTCCCTCATGTGCAATCGAGTATTGCATGTGGTGAGGCAAACAAAACAAAGTAAGATTGTAACAGGTGCAAACTTGCACACCAAACCGGGGAATAAATGCAGAGAAGGAGACTTGCATCCAAGACATCCCTGGATCAAAACTCAGAAACCATGTTAGATTACCATTGATGTAGGACAAATAAGGCTATGATACATGTTGATGCAGGACAGATAGGCTTGTCGTAACTTTGAGTTAGAAAAAGAATGAAAGAAGGGGGTGAGAATGAGAAGATGGGATGAGACTAGAGGAAAGGGGTGAGGAGATAGAGTGAATTGGTAGGTTGGATAGACAGAGGGATTGACAAAAGCAAAAACACCGAGGGAGATGAAGATACACGAGAGTTCTCAAACTCACAATATTCTTCAATAATCAACAACTAAATTGTTTGTTTACATAGGAGCCTTTATATAGGCAAATTATTAAGCAAACTCTAAAATCCCTAAAACATAAAAATACCAAAATAATCTTAAAATTCAAACACTACAAAAAATAACAATAAGCATAAATAAAAACACTTATTTACTAAAATCCCTAATTTTATTTCACTTTCCCTCTTCTCCAAAAGTTATGCTAAAGCATTTGCAACTCGTGTGAGAATCATATCTCGTTCCCCATCAATTCTCCCCGACTAAGAAGAACATCTAAAAAGTTCAAGTCAGGACAAAACTCATATGTCCTTCACGCGATATTTGAAGCTAGATAAGCCTTCCTTCCACAATCACTTTGATTGTCAAGAACATCTTCCACCAAATCCAAATACCATGGCATAGACAAGATGACAGAACAAACATTGCTATGAAGAAAATGAAATTCCACCTGTAGAGAAACACAAGCTAACAACATAGGAGGCTCAAAGGTACCTCGGTTGGGAATTGAATACTCCACATGAATATTTGGACTAATACTATTAGTTGATGGCAAGTCAAATAAATATGCATTAGGTCCGGAATTTTGAGTGATGCAGATATGTCAAATGACTTGGGCTTGCGATGCCTTGAATGAGTCATAAGGATAAGGTAGTGGTGGCACACGAAATTTAACATAATCTCCTTCAATAAATTTCTGATTCCTTATATGAGCATGAACAATAAATTCATAATTTTTATTAATCAAAACAATTTGTCATCTCATATCGGCATGAAAATCATGGACAACCTAAACAAAGGAATCAAGAAATTCAAATGAACAAAAAATATGGAGGCATAGGTACAAGGTCAATGGACTGGCGAGGAAGAAAATTATGATTCATGTATAATCTCAATAGGATAGCTATCAGTTGACCAAACTATGATATACGTACCCCATAAGAGGCAACAATGAGTTGTCAAAATCGGCATGTGCTCCCACAAGACAATGAATCAACTTCCTCAGATTCTCAACAATCTCATGTTTTTTGTCATTTTGAAGACAAAATGCAAAGTAAGATTTCAAATTGGTGTCCAAAGTGTTTTCCAAAATGACTTTTGTACTTGACATCCCTATTGGACATGATGGAAGTGGATAACTAATGAAGAGTATCTGTTGGGGGCAGCGGAAGCGCGTGAACATAGAGATCTAATGAAAGCCAAAAAAGCAATCACACACAAACACAAAATATAATACGGTTCGACCAACCCAGTTTACATCCACGGATGAAAAGACATTCCACTATGATTCATAGAGATATTACAATAGTAGAGTTCCTAGGAAGCACAAATATGGATAATGGATACAGATACGACAATATACGAGTATGGTGAGATGACCACTCTTAAATAAAAAAAAAAGGATATGGATACGGTAGGATACGATGATAATTAATATATATATATATATATATATATATATATATATATATATAATCATATATACGAAACATTAATTTTTGGTCAATTTTTTAAACTATTACGAATCTAAATGCAATCGTTAATATAATATAGGAGTTTGTTTCATAAGTTACAGCACATAAAACAAGCAACCCCAGTCATCACTTAATAAATTTCAAACTTTCCTTAACAATTATACTCCAATATTATTGTTGGAAAAGTTACATTTTAATGTCAAAACTAGTTAAAATTGTGCTATAAAGTATCTAAGACGCTTAGATCCGCAGTTAAAGTGTCTGACAAGTATCGGATAAGTGTTAGAAATTAAAACATATATTATAAAATTATGAATACGTTTAGGAAGTATCGAACAAGTATCCACAAGTATCCGAGTATTGGTATCCAACACATATCTGATAAGCGTACGTCACTCTTGTAGAAGTATTTGTGCTTCGTAGTAGAGTACCAATCTGAGTACATGCCTTTTCACCATATACAACTCCACGAGTCTGACTCCTCGCTACTAGTGCCACCGGTATTTTTCCTACTCTACTGACCCCTGTGTTACATGGACATGCCGGCTCCGGTCAGGGTGTTCGACACGACAAGGACACGGACACAAGATATGCGTCGAAGCCTTAACTTTGCCTATTGCACACGACTTTTGAAGGAAGCTTGCTCATGGTGGTTTGGCCATCTAGTTAGGAACTTGGGGTTTGGAAGAAGACGACGACTAAAAGGGCCTATTATTATTATTTTTTTAATAAATAAAAATCGATTAGAAAAACGTTCAAAAGGGGAACGCATCCCTAATACAAAAACGAAAGTGGAACCTAAGGACCAATAGAGTCCAAAAGATCAACTAAGTCATTAGTCGAGTAGCAATCGCTTCATTTCACATAACAGAAAATAGAACGAAGTATATGCGTTTTCAATGTCGCCACAGATGTTTCCTTTCCTTCAAAATTTCTGCTATTCCTTTCTCTCCAGATGCACTACCAAACACAATGTGGAACTATCCTCCAATAGTCACGAGCGTGGCTTTTCACTGGGCATCTTCTCCATGCGTTAATCAGTCCTAAAAGGGCCTATTACTCACGCTGGTACAATATAATATAGTTTATATTCTTTTTACCTGACCATATTTAACTACTGTCAACAAGTTTCCAAAAGGTGTGGGTTACAGCGCATGTAACCCACCACTCCACCGTCACCACATATTACCCAGCTTATGGGTTATAGCTGTAACCCGTAAGTTGTAAAACATATTAATATATGGGTTAGTGGGTTACAACTATAGCCCACAATATTTCTTTATATATATATGTGTGTGTGTGTGTGTGTGTGTGTATAAGAGACATTTAAGTTGTACACCGGTATTGCATTGCGCAGTGAACTGTAACTTATATATATATATATATATATATATATATTACAGCTCATTGTACAAGGGTACAATTTAAACTTCCTTATTTACTTTAACCCTTGTACAATACAGCTATAACTTACTTTTTTTTCTTATATATATATGTGATCGATATTATTTTCATTTTTTAAAATTTCATATGTCGTGTCCAAGTACCCGTGTCTTATTTTTGGACACTTTTAATTCGTGTCCAAGTATCCCATAATTTTATAGATAGATGGATCTGACCTCTAGACGCGCACCCATGTCCGACACCCGTACCCGAGTCTAAGTAACATAGACCGAACCATAAACAACCTCTTAACTCCTTGATGAGACTACATCTCTTTCAATTTCATAAGTCACAACCATTTACCTAAGTACCTATTTATAGAGTTACAAACACAATTCCTTATTGCACAAGGATTACAATTCCTTGGAGCCCAATACTTGCCTAACAAGAAATTAAATACAACTCTAAAATAGAAACCTGTTTGAACTAGAATTTCAGAGACAATTTCCAAAACTCTCCATCTTGGCTCAAATTCCATCGAGACAATTCTTTTGCAGCTTCAATCTTGCACACAAATCGAATCGCTTTAGGGACTTCCACCCACGTACCCGTTTTGCAACTAGCCTGATTTAGGGACTTTTCACCCAAGGAGCCAGTTCCTCAGTTTGATTTAAGGACTTTCACCCAAGGAGCCAATTCATTCTTACTCTTCGGATTGCATGCCAAGGTATAGCAATCCTCCCGCAAAATTGTGATTCTCCACGGCTCCACCTTAACTACTTGAGCTCCATGCCAAATACCCATCACGATTTTTTGACCTTTACGACCAAGCAAGCCGAATGACTCTACTTGCAACCTATGTTACACAGACTCGGTTACCTGTGTCGAACACGGGTATGCATCCATGCGTCGGACATGTCAAATCTCCAAACAGATGGACACACGAACATGGCTAAATATTCATTTTATTAATTATTTTATTTTATTTTATTTTCTAGAGTAAAGTAATATTTTTATCTAATATAATGTTCAATATAGACATTTAACTCATTTTAACGTAATAATATAATATAATTGAATGACTGGATATGCTTTTTAAATACATGTCCAACTAAAAGTATTGGACACATATCTCATACCCATGTCCGAGCAAAACGTGTCTGACACGGGTACTTCACTACTTTTGAAGAGTCCATATAACATAGCCTGCAACTGAAACCTATTGCACCACTCGTTGAGACTCCTTGTGTTTTCTAGATCTTCTTCACCTTCGGCTCTAATACCAATTTGTTGGGGGGGAGCAGAAGCACATTAACATTGAGATCCAATGAAA